TTGTTTTGTCATTTTGTTTTTGTATTGTTTTCCTGAATTGTTCTAAAGTTTTGTCTGTGTTTCCCTTGATTTTGTCTGTGTTTTCCTTGATCTCTTTGAGGATCTTATATTAAGTGTTTTGAATTCTTTATCAGGTAGTTGCATTACCATTTCTTTCTCAGGAAGGTTTTTCTGCCATTTTATTTTGGTCACTTGCTTGAGCCTTCTTGTCCTTCTTCTTTATATAACTTGATACTGTCTGCTGTCTTAGAAACATTAAGGTGTTATTGTATTTATTGATTGCTGTATGTTTGCTTCATCAGGATTTTTTTTTTTTCCTTTTGTTTTGATATATCAGGGCAGATACGGCAGGCATGATCAGCTGGTCTCTAGCCTAGCAGCATGGGAGGGCTCACTACCTGTCTCTGGGTGGCCGAGGCTGCAACTGGCAGCGTGAGCACCAGTCTCTGTTCACTGGTCATGCAGGGCATCTGAGGGTGAGCTGTGCAGGTGTTGGCCACTGCCTATCATCTGTCCAGAGGTGTACGATTGGGCAATGACACTCACTGAGTGGGCAGGGAAGTGGGCAGTGTTGGTGGCATGTGAGTGGGATACAGGATCACACTTTCAGCTGCTCACTGGGTTGGCAGGCAGGGGTGTGTGGTGGGCTAGTGGGTACATCAAGCATGCTCTCTGGCACTTGTGGGATGGCACGTGTGTATGTATGGCAAGTGAGCAGGAATGTGGGGGCACGGCCTCTGCTGTTCATCAGATTGGCAGGGGGGCATTGAATGGAGCTGTGTACGGGGTAAGCGGGAGACTGTACTATGGTCCCAGAGCAAGTGGGGTGGCGGAGTATGGGAGTTCTTGCCACCAATGATCAGGATGGTGGAGGGAGGGGAATCATGCTCTTCTCGTCACCAGATATGGATGCCTAGGCACTTCCTGCCAGGAGGGGGGTGGCTACCTGAAGTCTGGTTGGATGGGAGATCCCCTGCTGACATTCTATGTATCTATTACTCCATGTGCACCACCAACTCCAATTGACAGGGACTGCTGCTGGTGAGTAGACCTGTCTCTGGATCCTGGCTCTTGCCTTACTCTGTGGACACCAGGATCCCTAAAGCTCTCACCCTCCTTTCTGGACTTTGCCTCCTTAGGTCTGGATCATATTGCACTCATTCACTCCAGTTACATCTACACAGTTTCTCTATCTTTTGTTGGGAATTCTGTTAAGTTGCCTTCCTGTGCTCCTCACCCAAAGTCACCACTGTCTTTGACTCAAGATGGCCATGCTTTACCCAGGGCAGGTGGCAGGGCACCTTTGTGCTGTATCACTCCTCACTCGCCACCTTCATTCAATTTATTTTTCTGGTTGGTGCTTGATCCTGTTCTTTATCCTTTCTTTTGATGTTCAGGGTTCCAGGATTGTCATCTGCTTCTGTTTCCCTTGGTTTCTCAGGTCGTTGCTGTAGAGGGACAGCATGGTGTGTCTGACTAAGCCAACATTTTGGCTCCTCCTACCCTGAATGTATTTTTTGTTTTGTTTGCTTTAAGTCAATTTTATTCATCAAAGAAAATATATGTTTCTCTGGCATTATTCTCCATACAAATGAAAACAACCAGACCTTTCAAATTTTGTAAATAAATATTAGTATTAGAGTATAAATTAGTAATTTAATGTATATGCATTTATTTTTAATTATTTTTTATTTAATATGAGCCATTAAGTTAGATTTATAGAAATTAATTAGTTACTGTTTACTAGAGGTTATATGAAAGATTTTTTTCTTCTTTCCCCTGTTATAAACTAGTAGCTATAAGAAACTAACAGAATTCTACTGTGTTGGTACTTAAGGGAAAAAATAAACTGTGAAAAGCATGAATTTAAATGTTATATTGTGTTCAACTACTGATGAAGGTGATCTTTAAAAAGTTTCCTTTGTTTAATAAAAGGAGAAATCACTAACAAAAGTGGTATACTTAGATGTATAGTGAGGAAAAAGAATGGAGATACCCTAGTGAAAATGATTCTTAGTGATCAATAGTTTTAATGAATTTCACAACCTCAATGTGAGAATAATACTTAAGCAATTTACATATGATTTTTAGAAAATACTTAAGTTAATTCAATCAAATTATTAACAATTTTAGAATAATTACAATCTTTATGATGATTTAATTTCTGTCTTGCTTTCTCTCTCATAGTCTCTGTCTCTATATATAGATAGATAGATAGATAGATAGATAGATACACGCTAATGAAATTTATCATATAGCTCTGTAAGCATGTTTTACAATACCTAATTCTTCCTCCATTGTGGAACCTTTATTTTGTGAAGCAGAAACACCCAAGACTCTGTTGAACAATATAGAAAAAGCACTTCCCCAGACACCTAAAATAGAGCAAAAACAGAAGACAATTTAGTATTCACCAGGACTTAAACAAACTGGCAGTGATAGATTTTGATCACTTACCCATTAAGAAGTGCAAGGGGTTTTCTTCATATTTCTTCACAACTGTTCCCATAAAAAATTTGCTTCCGAATAAGTCAGGAGCCATAAAAGTACCATATTTAGCCATGCCAATCTCGTATGGACTAAATTCAACCCAATCTGAAAGCGTTTAAAAAACAAGAAAATCGATTAATAAAAAAAGTTGCACAGATGTACACCAAGATTACTTCAATAAAGCCATGATTATTCTCATTAGTTTCATTAAAATACTAAGACAAAAACATTAACCAAATGCCTCTTATGTACATGATATTCTATAGAAGCTGATGACAAAAAAAGGCTATAGATAAATAAAATGAGACAACACAGTAAGAGTCCTCTAGTGTGCACAAATCAAATATCACTTTCCATTTCAAAACTCAAATAGCTTTTATAAAGTCCATCTTAATTCTAAAGAGTGGAAAACTGAAAACTGCTGACTCAGATGTATAATCCATGAAAGAAATAGAAGAAATTAAACTCTTTCTTTCTGACAATAGTCTATGAAAGCAAAAGAAAATGTTCTCCAACATTTAATTTTCTTCATTTAATTTTTCTTATTAACCATTTATCCTAAATACCAAGATAACAATGCAAAGTTTTTATACATGATGTCTTAGAAACACTGTGATACAGGATCAGTAGAGTATACTAAGAGGTGAGGCCTTTGAGCAGATTGCCTGGGTCCAAATCCCATTCTGCTGCTTAAGTGAGCAACCTTGGTCAGATTACTTGCCCTCTTCTGCCCTGGCTCCTGAATAAAAACAATGTAGCTTGTAGGGTTGTTGTGAGGATCCAGTGAGTTAAAAAATGTGAAAAGTTTAGATGAGGCATGGCACATTGTAATAGCTCAATCACTAGAATATCTCATCCATTCCCATGGCTATAACTATGTCTAATAATTGTAAGAAGGTTAAAAAAACAAAGTTAAAAAAAAAATTTGTCTTCAAGTCAATTCCAACTCATAGTGACCCTATAGGACAAAGAAGAACTGCCACATAGGTTTTTCAAGGGTATAATCTTTATGGAAGCAGACTGCACATCTTTCTCCCATGGAGCAGCTGGTGGGTTCAAACTGCTGACGTTTCGGATAGCAGCTGAGCACTTAACCACTGTGCCACCAGGGCTCCTTATATGAATGTGAGGGTATCCAAAAACAATTTTTGGTTTCTGACTCCCGTTTACCATACTTGCAATTTCCTTAGTTTTCCTCTTAGTAAATGGTACCGCCACTTACAGTTTTCAGGCAAAAAGGCTTTAGTATTACCCTTGTTCCACCACCCATCAATTCATCATACTGTGGTGGCTTGCGTGTTACTACAATGCTAGAAGCTATGCCACCAGCATTTCAAATACCAGCAGGGTCACCCATGGTGGACAGGTTTCAGCAAAACTTCCAGATTAAGACAGACTAGGAAGAAAAGTTTGGCAATCTGCTTCCAAAAATTAGTCAATGAAAATCTATGGATCACAACAGAATATTGTTTGATGTAGTGTTGGAACATGAGCCCCCTAGGTTGGAAGTGTTCAAACATGATTGGGGAAGAACTGCCTCAGCAATGGACTCAAACATACAATAGTTATGAAAATGGCACAGGACCAGACAAAGTTTCCTTACAAGGCCATCACGAGTTGGAGTCAACTTGATGGCAACTAACATACATATATAACGTTATTCTTGTTGGCCTTCTTTCCTTCTCATCCCCTATCTGAAAAATCAAGTGCTGTAGGTTCTATCATCACATATCATCATATGAATCCTGGTCGCCTACCTACTTGTCCACCATGACCACACTGGTGTAAGCTGCCATACACTCTCCCCTAGATCTCCATAATGAAAAACCAAACCAAACCCATGGCTGTCGAGTTGATTCCGACTCATAGTGACCTTATAGGACATAGCAGAACTGTCCCATAGGGTTTCCAAGGCTGTAAATCTTTATGGGAAGCAGACTGCCACGTCTTTTTCCCGCGGAGTCGCCGGTGAGTTCAAACCTCCAAACTTTTGGTTAGCAGTCGAGCGCTTTAATCACTGTGCCACCAGGGATCCTTGACCTCCACAATAGCCTCCTAACATGTCTCTATTCTGTTGCCCTATAGTGTTTTGGATATCCCACAGACAGAAT